TTTTGTTTTGTTTTGTTTTGTTTTGAGGGAGCACCAGTGGCTGCTTTTTGTTTTGTTTTGTTTTGTTTTGTTTTGTTTTGTTTTGTTTTGTTTTGTTTTGTTTTGTTTTGTTTTGTTTTGTTTTGTTTTGTTTTGTTTTGTTTTGTTTTGTTTTGTTTTGTTTTGTTTTGTTTTGTTTTGTTTTGTTTTGTTTTGTTTTGTTTTGTTTTGTTTTGTTTTGTTTTGTTTTGTTTTGTTTTGTTTTGTTTTGTTTTGTTTTGTTTTGAGGGAGCACCAGAGGCTGCTTTTTGTTTTGTTTTGTTTTGTTTTGTTTTGAGGGAGCACCAGTGGCTGCTTTTTGTTTTGTTTTGTTTAGAGGGAGCACCAGTGGCTGCTTTTTGTTTTGTTTTGATGAATAACCCGTGTTTTTTGCGTACTTGTTTTTTGTTTTGACACTTTTTTTGGGGGGGTTAAGCAATTTATTACTGGTCCACAAACTAGAATAGCACCAAACTATCATGAAAAAAAAAATCATGCTGGTCTAGACTGTTTTGTGCAGCAGGGACGTGTTAACATTCAAACTGGCTTATCTGAAACACAAGATGATACGTTCTGTGTGCTGAATGAATATATACACAGGCACCAGAGACACTCCCTCATAAACCAACATGTACTGCCACAATCATGGCACCTTCTGATATTTACTTTGCTATAAATATTTCTGGTGTTAAGCCGAGTTATGTCAGTGAAATATGGTGCTATTTCAGTCATTTCAAAGGATGGAGGGAGAGCCTGAAGTGTGTACATGCTGTAAAAGAAATATCTTTCATGAGACTAGAAGAAAACTTGCCTTATTTGCATACAATAGTAGTATAAAATCCATCAAGATTACCCACACTTGTTTCTTATGACTTTCAATATAAAGGTTTATGTTTAAAATTTGTTTGGTAGACGAATATTAATTGTGCCTTCACATACATTTATTTCAAAACTTTGTAATAAAAAGTACTTTTTAAGTATATTTTTATATACTTTTAAGAATAGTTTAATACATTTGAATTCTGACAGCTGATTAAAATGCATTTGGAATTAATTACATGCTGATTAAATAATCAAATTTGTCACTATGAGTTACATAAACACGTATTTGAATTACATAAATACATATTCATATTACACTATAGTGGAAAATAATGTGAAGTTTTTTTTTATTATTATTTCAAAATGTATAAAATAGCAAACAATGAGCAAATGTACTTGTTATTTCAGGAAGGTGAGAGATGCTACCGGAGTTGACATTAGCATGCGTGTTGGAGTGCACTCTGGGAATGTTCTCTGCGGTGTGATTGGCCTTCAGAAATGGCAGTATGATGTTTGGTCACATGACGTCACCCTGGCCAATCACATGGAGGCGGGGGGTGTACCTGGGTAAGATCAGCATATGACTTTTGTTTTTCCCCATTTCATGATTTTCACATATTTGCCACAAGTGCTATTATGCTCATGGAGGGTTCTTGACGTTAATAGAAATGCTGTGTTGAGAGCACAGTGAATGTGCTTTTGTGCTACTAATGAGTGTTCGTTGAATAACCCAAAAAATAACAGAAACACAAAGCACTACATTAATTTTTCATATCTCGACTCTATTGTCTCTGTGGGCATTGGAACATTTGTGAAATACTCACATAATGCACCTGTTTTTGTGAAGTGTTCTTTCATTCGCCAGCCTGTAATAGTTGTGTGCTCCTCTCCAGACGGGTTCACATCTCTTCTGTGACACTGGAAAATTTGAAAGGAGCTTATCAAGTCGAGCCAGGCAACGGACAAAGCAGAGATTCCTACCTGAAAGAGCACGGCATCATCACGTACCTAGTCATCAACCCGAAGGTAAAAAATGGCGCAGTCCAGCTACTTCGTTTATAAATAACTAGACATTTACATTTTCTGAAGAAAAGCGTGTTGCTTTGTGTTTGCTAGAGGTTTCATACTGACCCAAATCATGTTAGGAGTTTATAACAAACATCAGCTATGATCATTATTGTGGAAACAATACAACTATTTTTTAAAATAAACAACATAATTATAAATAACAAAAATGTCTGTTTATTACCCAGAAAATTAGTTAAACAAAAGTATTAATCATAGCTGAACCAACACCTGCTGTTTGATAGTTCATAAATCATATCATAATGTGTCTAGTTATGCAACTTAGCATTGCATTCAATTCACCTTGAGGACTAATTAGCATAATTACACTATTTAGTTACAAAAGCGTGACGTTGTGGTCATATTTGACAACCCTGGGGAGAGTGTTTGTCAAAACACAAGTTCAAGGAAACGGGCATCAAGACCTAGAAGATTCCTGAACATCCGTCCATTCAGATGTGTGTGGGCTTTTCAGCCCACAGATATCATAATGCCTGGCACCATATATTCAAATAACAACGCCTATTCTTTTATTTATCCGGTGCCTTATTTACTTTTCAACAATGCATTTGCTTTGCCCGAGGTAACAAAAGCAGCACATTTTTCTCTGAAGAGACTCATACATTTATTTCTGCTCAGTTTGAGCCTTTCGGCCCTCTTATCATAACAGCCCACTGCACACCCACTCCCTCCACACTGCCATCATGATGACTGCATTTGAGTTTGGAGGGCTTTTGCTTGTTTATTTAGTTGTTCTCTTTTCTTTTATCACCCTGTTGTTCAGTTAATGCCAATTTGCATTTTTAGTTTTATTCTAATGAACGACTGTCATCGAGTCAAGTTGCTGTAAAGCAGACCAAACAGATTTGAGGGAGACACGGTTATCTTTCTATACTAAAGCAGAGGTTTTCTATCGTTTGGTGTCAAGCACCCTCAAATATGACAAGCCTCTTGCAAGAGACCCTTTTCCTAAACTACATATTAATTCATGTGTAATGCAGCTTTTTACATGAATGAATATGTATTTTAAGAAGCCCCCCATTTTATATATTTTCATGTATAAAAGCCTATTTATATATAATATGAAATGTGAATGCAACATGCTGTTTTCTCTCAAATTTAATTTAATTTTTATTTCAATTTTATTTTATTTATTTATTTTATCTTATTTTATTTAATTCATAAAAAACTTTTTTTTTAATTTCATTAATAATCCTATGTACCTGTGTGCTACTGGTGGGCTACTGGTGGGCCTGCCCCCTCAGATTTTTGAGCCAAGTGGTTTTTGAATGCAGCTTCCAAAAGACTGTAGCTGAGCCAGAGACAGACGCGTTTTTACAGCTGCACACTGTAATCAATCACACACGATTCTGTTGAGCTTATGAATGCAATGACCAATCAGAGGCGTTCAGATGAGTCATCGCGGAAATGTTTTGTTCAGTGCGCGGCTGCGCGCGTTCGCTGAAGGAATCTCAGCTCTCATCTGATGACTCTCTCATTAGAAACAACAAAGTGCAGATGTACATGATGTAAGTAGGATATTTATTTCACAATGAAAGCGCTATAATTAGTAAATTACAATGTTTCTATTAAATTCACATTAAACACAAAGTCAGTCGTATTAAAATATTTTATGGCATGGCACCCATATCTGGTACTTAATGTTTAGAAATTATTATTTCAAGACACGTAAAGCATTTTGGCTCGTTTATGTGGGCAGTCCCAAGCATAGTTGCAATGTGTTCATTGTCAAACACCAAAATCAGATTATTTTTAATTCTTAAAAAACGCCATTATTTTATTTGAAAAAAATAATTATTTTATTAACAAAAAATATTTTAGATTGTCTTGTATATTTTTTTCATTCGATCAGATAACATTTTAAGCTGTCTTATGGTCATGTTACAACGTGCCCCTCAGATGTTACAATGTACCCCACCTACGGGGCATGTTGTCACACTTCACTTCCATTTTTTGAGGGTAAATAAAGAAAAACTTATGCACTGTAATTATGAAACAAAGTGACATATTTGTGCTAGACAAGTGTAAAATTACTGTGGATAAAAAAAATTATATTCTGAACCCCATGTGGATTTACACAAACTGGGAAAGTCAAAAAGTGTTACTTTGTGCCCCGCTCTCCCCTACACTATTAGGCTACTTTGCACATCGCCCATTATAGATCAACTAACATAATATATAAAGGTGCAAATTGCATCTACTTACACATATTTGAGAATCGATATATTTCATGTTATAGTTAACACGTTTGGGAATATTATACAGTATACTGTATAAAGCTGCCGTGTGTCATGATGAGCACCCCCCCCCCCCCCCCCCCCCCCCCCCCCCCCCCCCCCCCCACACACCCCCATATGACATATGCGGGGCTTCATACTTTGCAGTTTGTTTGTTTTTTTAAAACACAATTAACTCTAATTACCTATTTTTCCTCACTGTTTTGCTTCTTTTTTACTGTAATGTAATTTCCATTATTCTCATTTCTCCTTACATTTCTATTACTGCAATACAGTATAAATCCCCCTTCACTCGTGCCCCCTCAAAAAAAACAGTGCAAAACGCCCCTGAATAAGATTATTTCAAGAAAATCTGCTTACAATCAAAGTAGGTTATACTGAATGAACATGTTAATACAGTTAATCAATTAATCCAGTTTTAGGACCTTATTTGATTTTTATCAGATTCTTGGAATGCTTGTATTTGATTCCATAAAGATCTTTTACAGTTGGTTCTAAAATCATGATAGAAATCCAGTCCTGTACAGCAGTGGCTTTGGAAGTGGTTTTGCTTCAGGACCCAGATATTATATTGGACATCAAGTAGTGACTTACTTGACACAGTACCAAAATTGTTTAGGATACCAAAGTACACAGAAATATCTTGAATATCAGTATCAGATCACGTAATACACTTGAATCAAAAATGTATTATAAAACACATCTGTGACCCACCACTTCAGTACATATTCTTGTTTGATTTTTTGGATTTCTGTGCTGTTATATCCATTTAGACTTGTACTTCATGCTGTGTTTGTACTTCATGCTTAGGCAGAAAAACGGAGTCCCCCACTACCTGCTCGGCTTCGTCCCACTCTGGATGGGGCCAAGATGAGGGCGTCTGTCCGCATGACACAGTACCTCGAGTCCTGGGGAGCAGCCAAACCGTTTGCTAACCTCCACCATCGAGACAGCATGACCAACGAGAACGGCAAGATCAACACACTCGTGAGTCAACCTGAGCACACACACAAAAAGTACAGTCATTCTGATGGAAGATTTAAATGGTGATTACTGTCATCAGGACTAGTTTGTACTTGAACAAGTACTTAATAGTGCTCTATTAATTACATTTGTAATTTTTTTTCTTACAGGATGTGCCATTAGGGCAGTACAGCTTTCAGCAAAGGTCTGAAAGGTCTGTTTTTTGACTGTTTATTGCTTTATATAACACAAAAAAAGCAAAAATCTAAATTCAAGTGAATAACCTTTCAGAACATTCACACTGACCTCATTTACATTTCCATGGTTGTTTAAAGTCTCTCTCCCTCTTTTTTCTTCCCTTTCAGAACAAAATCGCAGAAAAAGAGATTTGAAGAGGAGTTGAACGAAAGAATCATTCGCACTATTGATGGCATTAACTCACAGAGGTATGCATCCATAATGCTTTGCATCTTATCCGTATTGAGTAATTGATGAATTGCTAAATAGCAAAATGTTAACAAGGATCAAGTCTGATCTCAAAATGGGATTCAAAATCTTATTTAAATTAGCAAAAAAAAAAAAAATTTATTTTGAAAAATGTAAATATATATATTATATATACAGTATATATGTATATATATATATATATATATATATATATATATATATATATATATATATATTTACATTTAGTCATTTAGCAGACGCTTTTACGCTTTT